CCAAAAAAAAAAAAAAAAAAAAAAAAAAAAAAAAAAGATTGCACTCTGTATCAAGGCAACTCCAAGGGATTGTCTAATTTTTAATTTTACTTTTAATTGTTCAAAGTAGTATTCAGCAAATGGTACTGGTAAGTCAAAAATTCAACCATTACCTAGATCTTGAATTTTGATGTTAGAATTTCTGGATTCAAATTCTGACTGTGCCACTTAATAGCTCTGCAATCTTAGATAAATAGTTTGACTTTATTAAACTACAGATTTTCCTCTTTGGCAAATGAAAAATATAATCCCTGCCTTATTGTCACAAACGTGCTCTATTAACTTTGAAATGTTAATTACCATCCTCTTCCTGGGTCACACTAATCCATGTAGCTGCCATAAATATACATCTAAGAGCCCTGATAGCCTTAAAATGGAAAGCAAATTCAGAAATATCACAAGCAAATAAGAGTAATTTCTTACTATGGGCAACTATTCAAATGCTAACTTTGGTTCTTTGCACAATTTCTATTAAAATGGTCAAATTTCTATTAAAATTTCTATTAAAATGGTCAAATTTCCAACGGGCATAAGAAGTTATTCTGGACTTTCCAACCAAACATCTGATATATATGCATTCATTCAACAAAAGTTAATAAATGCTTATTATGTGCAGGATAATGTACTGGTACAGTGAGTGGAGGTGATCAAATAAGTTTCCATTCTTACTAATTCACTGTGATGAATTTGTAGAGAATACTATCCCATGAGGAAGGCATATGTAAATAATAGCTGTTTTTTTTTTTTAACAAAAATTTCAGGCCCTAAAATGACAGTTTTTCTAATGTCGCCAATGGATTGATGTATAAATAAAAACAACCTCGCTGAAACTATATATAAATGTGCTTGAAAGTATATAAATGTTATAATTTTTATAATTTTAATGTCATTACAGTAATATTTTTACAATATAAACTTACACCTCTAAACCAATGTTCACTGTTAAAAGAATATTAGATGTGCTTATTCTTTCCACTTTCTTATACCTGGTAAAATAAAAATTCTGTTTTCTCAACAAAATAATTCTTGGGATATTACTCAGCCATAAAAAGAAACGAAACTGAGCTATTTGTAATGAGGTGGATAGACCTAGAGTCTGTCATACAGAGTGAAGTAAGTCAGAAAGAGAAAGACAAATACCGTATGCTAACACATATATATGGAATTTAAGAAAAAAAAAAGTCATGAAGAACATAGGAGTAAGACAGGAATAAAGACACAGACCTACTAGAGAACGGACTTGAGGATATGGGGAGGGGGATGGGTGAGCTGTGATAGGGCGAGAAAGAGAGACATGGACATATATATACTGACAAATGTAAGGTAGACAGCTAGTGGGAAGCAGCCGCGTGGCACAGGGATATCTGCTCGGTGCTTTGTGACCGTCTGGAGGGGTGGGATAGGGAGGGTGGGAGGGAGGGAGATGCAAGAGGGAAGAGACATGGGAACTTATGTATATGTATAACTGATTCACTTTGTTATAAAGCAGAAATTAACACACCATTGTAAAGCAATTATACCCCAATAAAGATGTTAAAAAAAAAAAAATTCTTGGGAAGAGCAAATCAAATTCTCATTGTTCTCTCTCATTCCTCTCCAGCTTCATGAATAGTGCAATCTACTGAAAACATAAAGACCACATTTCCTCTCTTTGACCGCTTGAATGCAGGAAGGTAGGCATCATTCAGGGAATGGACATTAGGTACTATTGTCCTTTTGGAGGATCTCAGATTTGCTTTCACATGGAGGCCCTCAAGTGGTACCTCACCTCAGGTAGGACCTATTTGAAGTAGGAAAGTGGATTCTAGGAGTATTTGTGTGTACTTGCTTACCCTGGCATCCGTATCAGCCAAGTCATCTCTCATGTCAAGATCCTCACATCGTTCACCCTGAAAAATATCCCAGTCTTTTGTAAGTGGTTTTCTAGCATGCAATCACATGATTTACTTAATTCCCTTAAAATCAGATGAGTAATATTCTTTGCGGGAAAAGGAATGAATTGCTCATTTCTAGAGAGACAAAATCTAAGATTTTACTTTTCGTAAAAGAAGAGGAATTTCCTGAACTATTTGAGTTATACCTTTGCAAGAGAAAGCAAAGCCTTCTGATAATCTCCAGATGTATCTAAGGTGATGTCTTTAGCCAGATCTCTCTTCAGTTCTGAGAAATAAGAAAAGTATATTTTGTATTAAACTAGTGATAAGTAATGGTGATAATAATAATACCTGACATCTCTATATTGGCTCATAATTTGCAATGCCAAGTGTTCAATGACTTATGGGACACATTTCAAATATTATCATTTTTTAATAAAAATAGAGGAATCAGAGCAAGCAAAATTTTTGATCATCAAATTTATTGCCTATAAAGCAATTAAAACAATTTAGATAATACTGTGAAAAGCTATAGCCCTAAAGCTTTTGCTAACGAGAATAAATTGCATACGTGTACATTATTAAATAACCAATTCTGAAATAAAACATACCAGAATTTAAGCAATGAGATGAATAGAACAGTTATTTAAAAGAATAAACCAGAGGAACTTGCTTGAACACAGAGTATTTATTTACTTAAAAAATGATAAATATCTTATATTTAATATATTTTAGTTATGCATGTATATGTGTATGTGTACCCGTCTACCTTAGATATAGATGTAAAACTTTTGTTAAACACCCATACTTAACTTGCAAAATTATGCCATATTAGCAAAAAATTAACTGAATTTATAATTCACTAGAAGACAGAACAATTTAATAAGCTGTCATTGAACTATACACTGGGAATAATTTATGGATATTTACCTTTGTAAACTATGTTTTCAAAGAAAACTATGTTTTCTTTGATAACTATGTTATCAAAGAAAAAAACTAATAATAATGTCCCTCTTGATGGTGTTCACTGATAAATGGATTTAAGATAAATATTGATAATGAGATATGAATTGCAGAAAATGAGGTTAAAAGCTTCCTTATTCTGGTTCCTTTGTTAGATTGCTGTGAAAATAATACACAAGGGCTACTGTATTCTCTATGTTTGGTATTAAAATCAAGCAGAAATATCCTCTGTGGTGCTACATATTAAGCTGGGAAAACAAAAAAGCTGGGACTTAGGAAACTAGAAAAGGAAAATAGTAAAGACCCAGCACTGCCCAGGACCCACTTGCAGATACTCTTTATAGTGTTGAGCATACCACTGAAATGAGATGTTTCACTGAATAGATAACATGAGCCACTGCTGGTCTTTCATCCCCATGGATCTATCTGGATGTTGAAAGTAAGTGAGTCATTTATGCTCATAATGGTAAAGTTAATTTCCATCAGAGAATTATAAGCACCAAGCTCTGTACTTTTTCAAGGACAAATGTTTGGGGTGTTTTGTTGTTATCTTTTCAAAATGGAAGATGACGGGACATTTTTATGAAATAAACCTCAGAAAGATAAGAAATGTTTTTAGGAAATTCTTTAAATTCAGTTCTTTGAATTGAGTTTTCCACTGCAATAATATGTGGCCATTTGTCCCAAAGGGACATTTTTTATTAAAGTGCAAACTTGATGAGGGCTGAGACAATTGTGTCCCTTATCTGAACCCCAGCAGCTCTAATGTGTCTGGTAACAGTATGTCTGTGTGGTAGACATGTGATAAACAATGAAGAAATATGTCAATATGTAGTTTCCAAAGTCCCCATAATTAACATCCACACTCAATTTTTTTCTGAAGTATATCAGATTTCCTTTCCGACTAAGGCACTTGGGTTGTTGGACATTAAAACTTACCTTCTTTATAGACTCTGTTAATTTCTTTGATTTCTCTGTTAGTTCTTGATGCCAAAATTTCATTCAGAGTGTCTTCATCAGTTCCAAGGCCCTGAATTGAAAAAGAAGAATAAAATGTAGAAAAATCTTCATTCAAGAATATCAACTGGGCTTCCCTGGTGGTGCAGTGGTTGAGAATCTGCCTTCTAATGCAAGGGACACGGGTTCGAGCCCTGGTCTGGGAAGATCCCACATGCCGCGGAGCAACTAGGCCCGTGAGCCACAACTACTGAGCCTGCGCGTCTGGAGCCTGTGCTCCGCAACAAGAGAGGCCACGACAGTGAGAGGCCCGCGCGCCGTGATGAAGAGTGGCCCCTGCTTGCCACAACTAGAGAAAGCCCTCGCACAGAAACGAAGACCCAACACAGCCAAAAATAAATAAATAAACAAATGTGGGGTTTAAAGAAAAAAGAATATTAAAAAAAAAAAAGAATATCAACTAGTTTTTGTGTCCCCAAATTTGTTCAAATCTGACATTTAGTAAATTTCTCACAGTGTTTAGTAAATATCCACAATATTTAATAATTACAATAAGGTCTATCTATTACAGTGCTCTAAAAACAAAATGGATTTAAAGCAAATATTTTGGGCAAATACGTAAAAAGAGAGATCTATGATATATAATAACATCATGAAGATAGTGGAAATAACATAGTTCTTAACACCAACATTTATTTATTCATTTATTTATTCATTTTATAACCACTGATTGATGGCCCTATACTAGTTATTGAGAATACAGTAAGAGGCATGAGTGGATTAGACATTCTCTTGAGGAAAGGAGTTTTGCTTAAATTAGATGATTTACCCGCATGGCAGCACGGAGCTCATCAGCATCAAACTGGGCTGGAGTTTTCAACAGAGCCAAAGCAACGTCCTCAAGGTGACCTGTGAGGGCTTTCTTCAGAGCTTCATCCAGGGGCTATAACAAGGAGATGTTATAACCTTCTAGTAAATAACATGCAGGGTGATACAGTAATGTGGTGTTACCTGATCTTTAGATAGTCTTAATGAGTCCTAAACCCAACCATTTTTTAGAGCTCCTTCCATTTACATAGAAAAGGGTACCTGGTATTTAATATCTTAATCTTTTAAATCTAGAGTGATTAGAATGAAATTTACTGAATTCATTGATAATTTTTTAAAGGACAGGGTTCTCAATCCTTTATACAGGGAAGAAATCACAAAGCTCAAAAGATAGGGGTTGTGTATTAATAGAAACAGTAGTAAGAATACTTTAAAAATAATGTATTATTAACTTTTCTAGCCATTGGGATTTGCACTGTTCAAATAAGCACTATAATCAGACATCAAATAGTTTTCTAACTGTGCTCCTTAAAAAAATTGCCCATTTTTTGTATAAAAATACAAAGCTTACTTTTAAAATAGAATTATATGTATAAACTTTACATTCAGACATTAAACAGTTCAGTTTAAGTCATAGCAGAAGACACATTTCAATCAGAACCTATTTCTTATTGCCAATAGTAATCTTGATGTCTGTTATGTTCAAGTTAAAGACTTGTCTCCAACACAGAACACCACATGACATGTGCAAAGAATCAAGATGACAAAACAATATATAAAACCAGAAAATTTGCTAGAATTGATTACATTGCAACCAAGAAGATAAATACAGTAATCTTAGTTGTAATGGAAAAACAGTGGTTAGAGACTGACAGAACTAGGCAACTGTGCTTCAAAATCTATACTTAAACATAAATATGACTGAAATTAATTATCTCAATTAACCAGTCCAACTTACCTTTCCTTTTTCCTGGAGATAGGCTGCTTTGATCTGCTGACGCTGGGCATTGTTTCTCTTAGTCAGAATTTCAATGATGGTTGCTTCATCCACACCTGGAAATAAAGGGCCCCTAGACTTCTAAAATCAATTTTCTTCATCATCAACAACCGATATAAAGTGGTTCATTATCAAGATGCTTCAAAGGAAGTTCTTAACAAAACTAAGAAGTACAAATTTTACCAGACTGGGATATGGATGCAATACTGCATATCAAAGGGAAGCACTTGGGATGACATTCCATTCACTTGAATGAGAAAGGAGGAAGAAATTGTTCCTGGCCCTCAGTGTTGCAGTGTTTGTTTCCTAGATTAAACCCTAAATGTGAGCAGAGGTGTTGACCTCGGCACTGAGCCTGTTAGAAATGAGCTTTGTGAGCATATCTGTTGTAGAAGCAGATATTCTACCGATTTGACCAAAATTTCCCAAGTGCTGAGAAAGGAAATATATCTTCATTGACAGGGAAATCTTTTTATCTTCAAAACAAAAGACTCTTTAAATTGCACAGGTCTGTTTTTTAGTAGCCATTCTGAAATGTCTAGGAGGGGACTGTTTTGGGGAGACAGAATTACCTTTAGCTGTGATTGCTTTATGCAAGGCCTCAACATCTGAGGATGGATTAAAGCTAGGGCAGGGGCTCACTGATGACCCAGGACCACCTTTGGATCCTTTCACAGTTTTCTGTGGATGAGAGAGAAATAAATTACTGTCCATTCACTTACATTAGTTTCTATTTTAATATTTAACTAAGTTATTTTATTGTCACTTGACTTACAATGTATTCCTGCTCTTCATTGTCAATAAACCAGGCCTGCTTGAGAAATTCATTTACCATTGCCATTTTTGAAGGATCTGAAAAGAAAACAGGTTGATGTGTTTACAAACCACAAACCCACCACATATACACACCACTCCACCCCCTTACATACACAAGACATAGAGCAGCCTTGCCTTTACTTTCCAGGATTATTCTTTGGAGCGTCATAAAATGCTAGATTTGGTTTTTTTTAAAAGAGAGTCTACTACCCTTGAACAGAAACCCATAGCCTCAGAAACGTAGCTCTTCGTCAGCATATTCAGAACTCACCTTAGGGATCAGATAACTTCTCTAAGTAAGCATATAGGCTGAAGAGAGGAGCTGATGTTTCACTTCACTGCTCTAAATTTACAGACCACCCACTGTTTGCCAAGCACTGAGGGTGCAAAAACATTGAAACATCCCTTGGCTCAAAGAACTTGAAGCCAGTGTGTGCTCTCCCTAAGAAAATTCAAAAGCTAAGAACAATTCTTAGAGGAAGTTCTTGGTGACCTGAGCCTCTCTTGAGAATAGTTGAGATTAGCAGAAAAGTTAAAGAGAACAAAACCGAGAGAAACTTGTCACATTTGGGAAGTTGAAAGAAGTTTACTAGAGCAAGAAATGTTAACAGAAGCCAAAATTTAAAAGTTTAAATATATTTCCAAAGGTTTGGATAAACATTAATGGATTTGTTTAAGAGAAAGTTATATTTCAGAAAGGTCATCCTGTATCCTAGAGAATGGCTAGGAGATGTGCAAGAGGGAAGATTAGAGACTATTTAGTAAGTTGTGGGAGAATCTATGTAGGATTAATGAGGACTTGAACAAAAGTAATGGGTAGAGAAGGAGCATAATACTGACATTTATAAGGTAAAATAATCTATGATTAATCTGCGGGAGTGGATTCAGACTCAAAACTCTATAGAAAGATAGGTGATATTTCTCCCCGAAATAATTCAGTTTTCTTTTCCATTCCGTGGTATAAAATTATTTCAGTACCTGGAGTAATCACTGCATTCACATTTCTTCCTATTTGAGCTGTCTAAATACTAGTCCTACATGTGTTTTTTTACCCAACATAAAAAACCCAGAAAAGGATTACTTTATAGCAGGTGCCTTGCTCTAACAGGATTCATTAGAGCGAAATTGCACCATGCATGCCCTCTTTTGGAAAACTCTATCTTTAAGAAAATTGCCTGACTTGCTGTCGTGGTTCAGCAATATTTTTATTTAATAAAACATGTATATTTTTAAAACCTGAAGTACGTTAAAAATTAATGCATTCTCTGAGTTATCTACAAAAGAAGCCATCAATGATCCTTTTTGTCTAGGGATTTTTTTTTTAGGAGCTCAAGCTCCAGATCTACACTGATCTATCTCTCCATACCCTTTTGTTTATTTCTCTGGAGACAGCTATCATGAGTACATCTGAAGGAGGTTGGAAGGATAATCTTAGCAGGTTTAAATTCTTGCTATGAAGCTAAATGACTCATGAGGAGTAAAACCCATAACCTGATTCCTTAATGGCATGTTCAGACAAAGTATTTCAGTCCATACCTGCTGAAAAATGGCTGTAGTTGCAAGTAATGAGATTAAATACATGAGAGAACTAATATCCAAAGCAGAAACTATCTCCACTTAATTATCATGGGGATTGTTCAAATTACTGTTGTGTCATCTGTGAGAAGAACCAATATATTGTGCACTCACTTATCTCTTCCCCACAAGCAACTGATAAATTTAAAGTTATTTCCTGAGGTAAAGTCATGGTGTACAATTTTGCACAAGGTTTTAGTTCCTATTATACTATAATCTGGTGCAATTGCTGTTGGCACATGGAGTGTCATTTTCCTTTTGCTTAATTGGCATATCCAAAAGTTCTTGCAATTTCTGGCAAGGTTTCAGGTATTTAAAATGTCCATTTTTATCATCTCATCCATGCCCTTTATGAAGTAGAATCCTCAAAATGAGTGATATGATCGGTCACTTAGCAAAGTACTTTTCCCTCAATTATAGAAATATGTGTTCCAATATTTCCACTCTTTTCAATTAGAAAAGAAAAACTTCAAAAGAGATCAAAGAAGAGATTAAGGATCTTGTCAAAAGTAATTTTAAAAATGAGCCTCACAACTTCAAAATAAATTTTATGGAAACTTTACTTCACAATTTTTTCACTTAAAAATGCTTACATAGGGCTTCCCTGGTGGCGCAGTGGTTGGGGGTCCGCCTGCCGATGCAGGCGGCGCGGGGTCGTGCCCCGGTCCGGGAGGATCCCGCGTGCTTCAGGCCGCTGGGCCCGTGGGCCGTGGGCC